GACCGTTTCGTGAACCTAGGAGTGGAGGTAATTCTGACTTTGCTATGACAATCTGGTGCTTCTGAATCAGCTACTGTTTTGTTATTAGTTTTAGTATTTGCTATTGACTGTTCAAATGCGGAGTTTTGCGCATCGTGTGCGTGTCCGTACGTACGTGCGCGCGTGTGTGACAGAGAGTGAGATCACAGTGGAGTCAGCTGTCTTAACCGTGGCTTTTGTACTGCACACATACCAGCTTCATCACTGTGTCTGTCACGCGACTCTGTTGCCCTTTCGGGCTCTGTCCTTACATTTATTTTGAAGGATGAAGCTCGCGATTATGGTAAGGGGCGTTACATTTCCGACGAGTGCTTGCGGTGTTCGGCCAATCACAATGCACTGGGTCAGCTGGCCAATCAGAGCAGACTGCACTTGTCGGAAGGAGGGACTTTGTAGAAAACTAAGCGTTTGAGAGAGGCGGGGCATAGAGGACCTACACTAATGTTCAGTATTTGAAAAATAATGTGTTTTTTGAACATTAAAGCATGTCAACATATTCTGTTACACCAAATACACAAAATAATGATCTTTAAAAAAAGCATCATATGACCCCTTTAATAATTTAGTCTCGTCCATGTCAGTCAACGCACGTTAACAACAGTACCACGACGCATGTGTGTTACATGGATTTTTATCGATGTTCTTACAACGTTTCTGGGCCTTGAATGCGGTAGTTCCATTACTGTCTATGGAGGGTCACAAAGCTGTGGGATTTCATCAAAAATATCTTAATTTGTGTCCCGAAGATCAACAAAGATCTTACGGGTTTGGAACGACATGATGGTGAGTAATTTATGATAGAATTTTCATTTTTGGGTGAACTAACCCTTTAAAGTTAGGGTTAAGGGTTAGTATTTGTTTCAGCATTATTTAGGCAATGAGCACTGTGATTGACATGACCAATGAAGTCTTTAGAATCCATTGCGGGGCAAGGTTTGTGCTTAACTGGGAAAAACATTATTATTATTTTTAGCTGCATGCATGAACAACTTAGCCAAAATATACTACAATAAATATATATTTTGTTTAAATAGTTAATTATAGTTAATATTTGCAAACAAGGTTAAGGGAAAAAACTATATACAGTACATTAATAGTTTATAATATAACAGTTTAGAAAAATAAACTGAATAATAGTAGAACTAGTCTTATGCAACAATGCTTCTAAAATAAATTCATCTTGTTTGAAAGATTTTTCAAAAGGCAAACAATACAAAAATACTGATAACAATTTTTTGAGGTGTGCAGAACTTTGTTAACGATGGGGTTAAAATTCTGCAGAAATCTGGAGAATCTGCTCATAGAGCACAATGGAAACAGCATCTCGGACCTGCACTCCAAATGTTCCCAGAACAATGCTGCAGAAGATAGGGTTCCCAAAGATGCCGTCAAACACGTTCCTTTCGCCGTGAATCTTGCGAGCGTTGATCTCGTTGAAGAGCTGCATCAGGACGAAGGTGTTGAAGATGATGGTGTAGTGTTCAGATGGGGGTGAGTGTAAGGGGGCGTAACGGCCATTGTCGATGTTGAAGATTTTCTCTCCTTGTTAGGATGAAAGAGAATACAAAATTAAACGGTTCTTAAAAGTTTTAAAGGTGCACTCAGCATGCACTCCTTTTTTCCCGTTTAGATCAGTTGCTTATGCTAGTATTGCTCTCACTCTCAGAACATCTGCTAAATGAATATGTAAGTATATGCCACTTATCGGAGACTATTATGTTAAGTCTGAATTGTAAGCTGCTACACTATTATTATTCATCTTATAAATAATGCAAAATAACACATATTGATCCTTGAACTCTCTGTACTACCGGCAAACAGCAGGGTGAAGATGATGACCAGCTGATAGACTCCATGACCCAGGATGTTCTTCATCATTGTGAGCGAGATGAGGGGGTTGTTGCGCCCGTAGGGTTTCCTAAGCAGCAGAGCTTCGGTGGGCGGCTCAGTGGCAAGAGCCAAAGAGGCAAATGTGTCCATGATCAGATTGACCCACAACATCTGTACTGCTTTTAGTGGAGAGTCCTACACACAAACACACAGAGATTGCAGATGAAGGTACTGAATTACGCTCTTGGCCAGTGAAGTGTGTGCAGTACCACCAGTCTCCAGCAGGAGGCTCAGTGGCTGGTTTAATTATAGCTTCCTTCCTTTTGCTATGAGCTTGAGAGGTGCAATGCAGTCAATTCTCCTAACCTGCATGGCACAGAGCTATCAGCGATCTAGAGTGGCCATCTCTCACTTACCGCAACGCTACAGGCTAAGACAAACGGCACTCATCTGAGGAGTAGATTTGGGGGGACGCAATGTTTGAAGTGAGTGAAATTCCCTTGCCCTCCCTAGTCTCAGCCTCAGACGTCAGGCCCACGGACCGTTGGCTAAACGTCTGACGCATATGGCACACAAAAGTGGAAACACTTCAGGCGTTTTGAAGTCATCATCGGATTGGTTGAATATACCGGATTTCCGGGAGACGTGTGTGTCGCGTTCTTTAACGTTCCGCCTGGAAACAAAGATGCCGTGACGCCAAACCCACTCATGAAAGAAGAAAGCCGTCGTGTTTACAACTGAGATAATGAGTGCTTTTCAGGATCAACTAAATGCTGGATTTTCAAAAGTATGTAAAAAATGGCCTCATGGGCGGGCCTTGGCCAATGAAAGCTGCCATGGATTCCAGACCTTCAGCCGTCAGTCTGAAGGTCTGGCTACGTGAGACTAGCCCTCCCTTATCAGTTGTTCCAAATAATTTGCATTTGTAAATTAAGTATTAAATGCTAAAGGAGCTCTAAGCAATAACAAGTCACGCAGGAAAACTTCTAAAGGAATATTCCAGGTCCAATACGTTAAAGGGTTAGTTCACCCAAAAATGAAAATTCTGTCATTAATTACTGTCGTTCCAAACCCGTAAGACCTCCGTTCATCTTCGGAACACAAATTAAGATATTTTTGATGAATTCTGAGAGCTCTCTGACCCTCCCATAGACAGCAACATAATTACCACGATCAAGGTCCAGAAACGTAGCAAGGAGATCGGTAAAATAATCCATGTGACATCAGGGGTTCAACCGTCATTTTACGAAGCTACGAGAACATGGAAGCTACGCAAACAGCGTATGCTATTCTGTGTCAGCTGCGCCTCGCGGATACATTGTTTTCGTTCAAATCAAAGCGTAAACAACGTAGAAAATGCATGATGCGTGGCGCAGCTGACACAGAATACCATACGCTGTTTGCGTTCAGTGGATACTCTCCAAAATGGCACCAGGGTGACGTGGAGGAGACGAATTGTTGAATAAAGTCGTTATTTTTGTTTTCTTTGAGTATAAAAATTATTCTCGTAGCTTCGTAAAATTACGGTTGAACCCCTGATGTCACATGGATTATTTTACCGATCTCCTTGCTACGTTTCTGGATCTTGATCGTGGTAATTACATTGCTGTCTATGGGAGGGTCAGAGAGCTCTCAGAATTCATCAAAATTATCTTAATTTGTGTTCCGAAGACGAACGGAGGTCTTAGGGGTTTAGAATGACATGAGGGTGAGTAATTAATGACAGAATTTTCATTTTTTGGGTGAACTATACCTTTAAGCTCAATTGACAGCACTTGTGGAATATTGTTGATTACCACAAAATTTATTTCAACGTGTCTCCCCCCCCCCCCCCCTCTTTATTCTAAAAAATAATCATATCTGGGCTACATTGAGGCACTCACAATGAGTGAATGAATGAGTCAACATTACAATACTCACTGTTTCATTAGTATAGCCATAAAATGTAAACAATGTGTTAACATGATTTTAATGTAAAAAAAAAATATTTACTAACCTTCTCTGTGTAAATTTATATCCAATTTTACAACTTAAATGACATGATAACCTGACACCTAAAACTCTAATATGACGAATATAAGATGACGAGCACCTAAAATTACACGTTTTAACAGAAAAATGGCTGCAAGTGTTTTTGTAAAAACATTAGCTTCACATTTCTGCTTTTAAAGGGGTGGTTCATAGCAATTTCACTTTTTAAACATTAGTTGGTGTGTAATGTTGCTGTTTGAGCATAAACAATATCTGCAAAGTTATGAAGCTGAAAGATCAATGCAAACAGTGTATCTAAAAGTATGAGACAACAACAAACAAAAAACATAGGCCTACCATTAAAAGCCGTGCTTGCACAGGTTCTGCACATTCTTCTATAATATCCTCTGCTTTTCAATCGGGCTCAAACTGATAAGCGAGATTAATGACGCAGTTGTTGACAATACAACCGGAGCACATGCCGCTGAGGTGAGGGGCGGGACGTTTAGACATGCACTAGAGGCGATTTAGCCAGTCATAACACACTGGGCTAGCTAACCAATCAGAGCCCATCGCCTATTTCTGAGAGAGGGGCTTCATAAAAGCAGGAAATGATCAGCGCATTTCTCAGAGAAGGGACAGAGCGGTGTGGAATAAAGGTAAATTATGTGAAGAATAATGCGTTTTTAAAAAAACTAAGCATTAACACATGTTAGACTGCACCCCAATTGTAAGTAGATCACCACAACCAAAATTTTTGAGGGACAATTAGAATTTTTTTTTGAGGTAAACAACACTGTACCAAAAATGCTGTCAATTGAGCTTAATTTAATCAAATAAATAAAAAAATACTCCATAAAAAAATAATAAATACATTTAAGTTGAAGCAATGAATTACTAAAACTAAAACTGAAATAAAATTAAAGTTAAATAAATACTATAATAGCATATTAAAAAAACTAAAATTACAGTGGTTCGTGTGTGTGTGCTACCTGTGTAATGCAGGCCCCGGTGAAAGCTACGATGACGGCCACTACATTGACAGTAAGCTGAAACTGCAGGAACTTGGAGATGCTGTCATACACATTTCTCCCCCACATGACAGCCTTCACAATGCTGGAGAAGTTATCATCGGTCAGGATGATGTCAGAAGCTTCTTTAGCTACATCAGTGCCTGCTATACCCTGGAGATGGCAAGAGAGAGAAAGAGCAAGAGATTTAGGCACTGTAATACATGCATCAAAATCAGATTCATTGGAGAAAAGTGGCTTTTATTCACCGGAGATCTTCCTGTGTTATATTATATACCCTTGTTGGGTGAACATGATATAAGTAGAGTTTCTAATAGATCAATATTCATCTCCTACCATTACTCATCTCTCAACTACCTCTTGGATGGAAGGACGAATAATATGAATAGATAAGAGGGAAGTGTTCATCAGATGTGCTTACCATCGCAAAGCCCACATCTGCCTTCTTGAGAGCCGGCCCGTCATTGGTCCCATCACCAGTTACGGCCACCACCTGTCTCTGCTCCAGCACAGTGCTGTCAATGATGCCTACACAATGGCATCATCACCCAGCAAACAATTACCAGCTAGCACATAAACCAAACACTGAATACAACTACTGTCACCACAGAACATGAATTCATCAGTCTGATACATTTTAATTGACTGTATGTTGCGCCCTACTGAGTGTCAAATTTACAATGTAAATACACTACTGCAGCGGTGGCGAACTCCGGTCCTGGAGAGCCGCAGCCCTGCAGAGTTCAGCTCTAACCCTAATTAAAACTCACCTGCCTGTAGCTTCCTAATAACCGTTCAGACCTTGATTAGCTTGTTCAGGTGTGTTTGATTAGGGTTGAAGCAAAACTCTGCAGGGCTGCGGCTCGCCAGGACCGACGTTCGCCACCCCTGCACTACTGCAACAGTCAACAATTTGGACACATTTTACTGAATTTCCATCACTGTTAAAAAAATGGTTTGTTTTTTTTGAAAGAAATACTTTTATTCAGCTAGGATGCATTAACTGATCAAAACGGACAGTAAATAAATGTATAATGTTACAAAAGATTTATATTTTAAATAAATACTGTTCTTTGGAACTTTTTATTCATCAAAGAATCCTGAAAAAAAATAAATCACGGTTTGCACAAAAATATTAAGTATATTGACATTTTTAAATATTAATATTTGCATTATTTCTTTCAATATTAATAATATTAAGTATAAAATATTGTTTCTTGAGCACCAAATCATCATATTGGCATGATTTCTGAAGGATCATGTGACACTGAAGACCGGAGTAATGGCTGCTGAAAATTCAGCTTTGCCATGACAGGAATAAATGCATCTTTAGTGAGCATAAGAGAACATTAAAAAATCTTACTGACTCCAAGCTTTTGAACAGTAGTGTAACTTTCTCATGGTCTTAAAACCTTATAATCTAGATGTCAGTTTGTTGTGATTTGTGTAAAGCTGCAGTCAAAGGGTAACAACTTTGAATCTATAAAATTTTGGACACTACATAATTCCCACACCATACATGGTAGGGTCCAGTAAGATTCAAGCGAATCTGAGTTTGAGAATGATGAGTAGAAAGAGTATTTTACCTTTTACGAGTGTGTGTTTGTCCGTGGGGGAGGAACGTGCAAGGACTCTGAGTTTAGGCCAAATCTTATCAATCCTCTCCTGCTCAATCTATAACACAATCACACACACATGCACGTACACAGAGCACGGACATTCATGATTCAGTTTAGTCTGTATTGGTTTGGCGCTGAGATGTCTGAGATTCAATTTTCACGAACCTCTCCTTTCTCATTCCTGATTCTTCGGTTGAAGTCTTTACCCTCCATGCACAGAAAGTCATCCCCGGGCTGAATGATGCCACACTTGGCAGCAATAGCTCGTGCTGTGTTGATGTTGTCGCCGGTGACCATGCGCACAGTGATGCCTGCCCTCTGACACTTGCGAATGGCTTCAGGGACCTGCGGGAGGAGCAGAGAAATGCTTGAAAAGAGAAAACTAATTCCAAGAATACAGGAAACATGTTCTCACTGCATACTGTACCTCAGGTCGAACGGGATCCTCGATCCCAACAACTGCGATGCAGGTCAGATTGGTGACAATTTCAGCTTCGTTATCCCATTCAGGCTCAGGGTCGCAGGGAAGATCACGATAACCAATGCAGATGGTTCGCAGGCCTTCACACGCCATGGGCTCGATCACTTTCTTCACCATCTCGTCTCGGTCCCGTGGCTTGAAGCTACGTGTTTCCCCATTGGCACCAAGTATCGAGGAACACCTGAGGTAGAAGAGAAAGCAGGAAGGACAAAAAGAGGTGTCTAATGACAACCAACAATGTTACGGTTTTAATTCCTACTGTAGATCTTGTTGTGGTTTACTAACTTTTTCAGAAGGATCTCAGACGCTCCTTTGCTGTAGAGCCGGAAACTTCCATCCGGCATCTGCACCACAGTGCTCATGGACTTGCGTACAGAGTTGAAAGTGTAGACTTTGTAGAGTTTCTCCTCTGGGATTTGCTCTCTCACAGGGACGTAGTCTCTCTTCAATTCCAGCAGGAAGCCCAGCAGACCGCACTCTGTCTTATTACCAACCTGCTTGGGCAGACCACCTTCCACATCCGGTGGCTGAAAGAGAATTGAAATGAAGCAAGAGACACGGAGGAGAGAAAATGAAAAGAACTGGACTGAAGACGTTTCTATTTATATTTGACAAGCCAGTACAACAGTAAATTCTTAATAGGCTAACAGAGCTTCTCTCCTGAAAAATAAATCTTACCAGCCAAAGCTGGCATGCTGTTCTCTCAGCCAGAACTGTAAAAAATGTTTGTAATTTTAGCAGTAATATACTGTAAAAATACTATGGTACTATCTGTTATTTGGTTAACAAGCAAGTTTACTTACTATATATGGTGAAAATCTTTAATAGGGGACAATTTAAGTAATGTTACAGTAAATTATATAATATATATAGTATATAATACAGGTACAAAACAGACAGAATAGGATGAAATATTAACATTATATCAATTAATGGAATATACCATCATTTGTTTTTTACAGTAAATTTAAGTTCATTCTGTAACCCTAAAATTGTGCTACCATATTTTTTATAGTAAAGTTCTGGCAAACCCTGCTTTGTGTTTTATATGTAAAATGAACAGATTACATCCAGGTAACTTGGTTCAGCTGGGAGTCCAGCTAGACCATCTGAAGACCATTTCAGCCAGGGCTTAACCAGCTCAAACTAGCTGGATATAAACTTTTCTATCATTTTTTTAAATTCATGATATCCAATCTCTTACCATGATCTTGGAGGTATAGGCGCAGTTGATAGATATGGCATTGACAATCATCTCTAGGGTGATGGGGTTGATCTGGCTGGGGTCTGGGATCTCACGGAAGTGCTGGTCGTTGAGGTAGGCCTGCACTACAGTCATGCGGTTGGTGGTGAGGGTGCCGGTCTTGTCAGAGCAGATGGCAGTGGCGTTGCCCATTGTCTCGCAAGCATCCAAGTGACGCACTAGGTTATTGTCCTTCATCATTTTCTGAATTAACAACAATAGAAGATTTGAGTGGTGAAAAACTGTGTTGACAAAAGCAAAACATGCTAAAAATAATACATGAAAAAACATCCAGAGAAAAATGTGTTTATTTTGTTCAAATTTGCTTATGTAGTCTGTTAGCTCTACAATACATTTCATTTGCTGTTTACACACACACACACACACACACACACACACACACAGTGCACCTGTTCTCTCTCACCTTAACTGAATAGGCCAGGGAGATGGTAACAGCAAGTGGAAGACCCTCAGGCACAGCTACCACTAGCACAGTCACACCGATGATAAAGAATTTGACAAAATACTGCACGTAGATGGGTGTGCACTCAGTCAACCAGATCCGCCCCTCCACCACAAACGTCTCAATCACAAAGTACAGCACCAGGATGATAACTGTAATGGCTGACATCACAAGACCTTCAAATAAAACAGTATAATAAAATAAATCTTCAGGATACTTGCAGATCCATCTATAGTCAGTCAATTGACTATAAATAACAAATAAAGTAAGGCATTATTACTTATCAAAATTACAGTACAATATCTGATTAATTTCTAATTATTTAATTTATTATGCAACATAAAAATAGGGGAATATTTCTGTCTTTTTTATGATAATTATTTGTGTGCATCAAAAACAATTGTGATTGTAAGTGAAAACATGTATGCTTAACATGTTACTTTTCATAAAAAGTTACAACATTACAAAGTTAAATTGGTTGGATATGTAACCTGAAGGTAGCACAAATTGCGAATATGGGTTACCATACTTGTCACAACACTTTCACTTTTTCACTTTCAGTTAATGCTTCTGCTTAGTTAACAGTGAGAAAATGTTGCACAAAAGTAACTTAACACATTGATTTTCATAACAAGTAGCAAATTCAATAGTCAGCACTTCTCAATAATGCAAAAATATGTCAAATTAAAATGTGTTACATTCCATGAAAATAACAATGTAACACAATCAGCTGGTACTTCCTCTGAGTTAATACTGAGAAAATGTAGCACAAAATCTAACACTTTACGTCCCATAAAAAAGTAACAGCAGTAAAAAAATATATAACTCTTAGTTATAGTTAGAAAATGTAGCACAAAATTTAACATGTTACTTCCCATAAAAGTAACAAAAGCACCAAAATATATAACAAAAGTAACATGTTACATTTCATAACAAGTAACAATGTAACACAACTAGCGAGGGCTTCCTCTTAGTTAACAGTTAGAAAATGTAGCACAAAATGTAACATGTTACTTCCCATAAAAGTAACAAAAGCACCAAAATATATAACAAAAGTAACGTGTTACTTTTCATAACAAGTAACAATGTAACACAATTAGCGAGGGCTTCCTCTCAGTTAACAGTGAGAAAATGTAGCACAAAATTTAACTCTACTTTCCATACGAAGTAACAAAGTAATACAACTAATCTGCACTTCCTCTCAACTAATTAAGAGAATATGTACCAAAAGTAAGACAATGTTACATTACATAAAAAGTAACAATGTAACATAATTAGCAAGTGTTTCAGTTAACAATGAGAAAATTTAGCACAAAAGGAATTTAACATGTTACTTTCCACTAAAAATCTAGCACAAATAGTTACTTTTTTAAGAAGTAATGGAACACTGTCACAGTAACATTTTGCTTCAAGTAACATTCTTCAACACTGAATATAGCTTTGTATGTGGATTAAAAAAAAAAAGACAATAGGATCAGCACAGCAGAGTGTAAGTGTGTCAGAGTGAGGTGATTTATCTTTCCATATGACATCACCTCGTAATTGGCCACATGAAGTCCCACGCACCTGCTTTGCCAATCTGTACAGCCAGTTTGGTGAGTTTGCCCTGCAGTACAGACTTCTCCTTCTTGGGCACGTTGGATTTTTTCTTCTCTCTCTCCTCCACTTCTCCACCCTCCGCACTCTTCAGAGGCTGCATCTCCATGGCAACGGCTCCATCCTGCTTTTTGGCTGGTGGGTGGGACATGAGTTAGCATCACTACATAAGGACAACAAATCTGTCGTGTAACAATTCAGAGGCATCGTGAAAGGCCTCCGGCATGAACGAGACTCATTCAAAGCTCTGAATACCTTCATGCCTCACACTGAATATTTACGCCCAAAGTGGTATACACACATACACTGGACACACAACGAAGGAAAGCAAGACAAATGTGAACACGCACAGCATAAACATTGACGTCGGTTAGAGTCGGACCACAACAAGTTCTCGAGTTCGACAGAGCTGGCACTATTCAGCAAAATGTGTTTGGGTGCTTTTTCTCGACACCCGAAACAATGAACTACGGTTACAATGTACTATGCAAGGAAGTGGTCGTCATGTATGCCGTTGAGCAACCGAGTGTGATGTTACACAAAGAGTGTGTTTCTGCCTCTTTATGTATGTGGTTGTGTGCATACATGGTATTAGCAATTATATTTCCTGTTGCTATCCTCAAATAGCAACAGCGTAACTAAGGAGCCCACATAAATGTTCCACAACAAGAAAATAATTAACCCCTCATTCTCTCCATTCATCTACTCTACTATCCCTGTGGTACCTTTATTCTGATTGGACTCCACAGCTGCCTCTGGCTGCTTGCCTGTGAGAGAGAAAGACAGCGAAAGAGACAGAGAGAGAGATAGAGATAGAGGGGGAACAAGGGAATAAAAAGCGACAGACAGAGACAGAATGAGAGACAGGGCACACAGTGTTCTTGAGTGGGGAAAATGAGAGTGCACAGAACTATGGAAACAGACACACAAGTGCAGACACACAAGTGCAACACATTGAGCTGAGCTCTTAAACTATGACATGTTAAACCTGTGAATGCGCTCCGCCACAATTCTGGGCTAATCCGACTCTGTTTAGTGCTTATTGTAGTCACTTCATCTATGCTGAAGGTGATCTGTAACTCCAGTGGACTTAAAACAACAGGGCTGTGGATTACGTACCATTGGTGATGCCACTCGGTTTGGCCATAGTTGTTAGTGAGTAACTACTGTCCTCTGATTGGATAGCAAAACAAAGGGATAGTGCAGGTGTGGAGGAAGGGGATCGTGGGAAATTGTTAGGATTGGGTGGTGGTAGAAGTAAGAAAAAAGACAAATTAATGATGAACATGTGGTATTAAGGGAAACTGAAAAAAGCCAAAACTGCATGTACGTAGGTTGTTAATATGAAATTACAAGTACTGACAGTACTTCATCAGTGAGATGTTCCTGCAAGATTATTCTGTTTCATGTAAAAGATTGTTTTCTAATTCTTGTGTAACAGTTATTTGAGCTATCAACATTCTAGTTAAATTAGTAAATTAGTAATCTAGTTAATTAAGCGTGATTAATTATCAGCAAAGATTCACAAGCTACAGAATGTAACTGAACGGAGGGATCTTAAGATGTGTTTTAACTACATTGCACTTTTAGTGTCCTAAAATACAGCACTCATGGGGCAAGATACTGAAAAACTGTTAAATACAGAGCAACGGACAGAGATATACAGTAGATCAATCATTTAAAAAATACTATAGAAAGAATAAAAGCTAACATCTAGTGTGAATCTACTTTGTTAAGCAAACAATATATTGATCTACTCAGTGAGTTACTCTTATATAATGTCTATGAATTACCACCATTTGGGGGCTTTGCTCAGCAAATATTTATATAATAGTTAACTAAAACTAAAGCTGAAACTAAAATAATAATTAAAAAAAATGTTACTTGAAATAAAATAAATGTTAACTGAAATAAAAGAATATGATAAAACCTTTTTTTAAGCTAGTTGCCAAGGCAACATTTATCGTTTTAATTAAGTCTAATTCATTTATTTTTAATTTAGTTCAACTAAAACTGAAATATAAATATATATTAAAACTATATACACATATTTAAAAAAAACTACTAAAAATGACAAAAACAACAAAATAACTAAAATGTTATTGTGATTAATCAACACATTGAGTAATTATTGTATTAATTTATTGATAGCCATAATTGTTATACATGTAGTTTTTATGGCCTCCTGTTAATTGAATATTCAACATAGAATATTTGTATTTAAAAAATTCACACTGCAGGACTGCAAAAATCTTTGAAGGGTGAAAAAAACGAAATATACACTATCCCTCATGCATTCATATAGATTTTAACTTCAAATCTTAAATAGTGAATAAAAAAGTGTTGTTGACATTATTTGTCATACTGTATGTGCATTCTACTAATCTACAATTATGGGTATCAGAAAAGATGTATAAATATTCCAAATCACTTTCGCAAAAGCGAAAACGACAATTGTGAGGCAGTTTTAAGTCCGTTCGGTGGCTGATGACACATGTAGAGCGATTCAGTGGGACAGTAACAGAACATGGCGCCACTTCATCCTTCATCCACCCACATCCAACCTTTGCCCTCCCTCTCTCCATTTCTCTCTTTCGCTCCCTTTCTCTGAATAATTAATCAGCCTCCTCCAATATAACTCCTAATCCTTCTCTATTCCCTTCACTCCAGTCTCCTCTCTGTTGGCTGCAGGTTAAATTACCCATGACATGGGCCATAAAGTTTGCAGAAGTGGAACTCTGCTTGTCTCTCTTGCTCGTCTTACCATTCATAAATATTCCTGCAGGCTCCGAGCCCACTGGTTCTCCATTCATATCCAACCCATTTCTCTCTTATGCAAGGATCTCCCACCCCCTCTCTCTCCATTCTCCACTGTCTGGTAGTGCTACTCACAACGTGTGCAGTCATTCTCACTACATCCTACACTAGCCTCAGCATTTTCTCTGAGTATTACGGTGTGTCTTGGTTGGCGTTTGATGCTCTTCCTTCTTACACCTACCTTTCTTCTCTTTCTTCTCCTCCTCCCCTTCCCCGGCTCCCAGCAGAGTGAATATGATGCCACTCTGAGAGTTGACTCCAACTGCGGTCACCAGCATCCTGCCTGATCCCTCCATCACATGGGTACCTGAGAAAGAAAGATTGAGAGAGAGATAGACAGATTTAGGAAAAGGCACAATGTAGACGAATGATTGATATTTAATTGCAGCAGAATTCTACAAATGTTGTCCCAACTAGCCTCATAGAACTAGTTTAAATAAATGATTTCCTATTGAACAATGTGGCTGATTTGTGACCTCCCAGCATGCACTGCACCATCAATAAATTATGTTCTACCCTTCTGTTTCAAAGATTGTCACTTCATATTAAGAGTCAATCTAAAACTACATGTAAGATTAAAATCATGCCCTTTATATTTATGCCAGGAAATACATTTATAATGTCTAAAAAAAACAACACATTAAAATCATTTTAATTATCTTGTAAATTTACCTAGAACTTAGTAATAATGTTTTATGTACATGTAAAACTTTTTTCAAAGCTCAAGCTCATTTTAAAAGAATGGAACACATTTCTATAATAATAACAATATCTAAATGACAACACTAGTTTAATTTAAGAAAAAAGAAAATGACCACTTTTCCAAAGTTCAAGTTTGCTTTAGAAAAAACCCATACAATTAAAAAAATTATTAATCTATAATTGCCTTGACAAGAATCTACTGACTGAATAAGACATATTACATTTAGTGCACAAATTCAAAGTAGCATCACCGAAGACAGTTATTACGACAGTTGTTGCAGTTCATATTTCTGTGATTATTTTCACATTTTCTCAACTATTCATTTAGACATTGACTATTTATCTACAAACATAGACAGCCTGGCCTGTTGCAGTACACCATTAGCATTTGACTCCAGACATGCACAACAAAAGCCTCCATACATCAACTTCACAAAAATATCATTGGGATATTATTCAATAATATCATCAGTAGAGTAGGACAGCCTCATAAAGAGAATGGAGTTATCATCCCAAGTGTCTAAGAATAGCATGGAGGAAGGGAGAGGGCATGCACCAGTGCTCACAGCAGGAAACAGAGATTCTCAGATCTAATTAACAACATCTGGATGCCACTGCAGCATCTCAGTTATTCTGACACACAGAATGCGGACGCTCTGAGTGCTTTGTGCTGCTGACTGACAGCTGACGGAGCGCAGCCGAGAGGAGAATACAAAACTACTTTAGACATTTTCAAGAAAGGTTGACCAGTCTCTTAAGGAAAGTTATGGGCATCAACCTTTAACAATGATTTTACTTTAATTCACAGCAAGTTTTTTGCTACTAGCCTAAAGGCCTATTCACACTAAGAATGATACCTATACAGATAACAATATTAGCATTCACACCTACAGAAAATAATGTTCTGTTTATTATAAGTGCTGCAGTTACTGTATGTTGTCTGTCACTTTAAATGCTCAAGTTCTTTAAAGTCAGTGGATTCTGACTGACTTTCAATGTTTATATTGTTCATGAGCAGGAAAAAATGTCCTTAAAATGATTCCAAGGATTGATATTGTTATAGCTTGGTTATGGACTTTTAAACAATTATCTAGGCATTAGGCAATTATTAAAACTTTCTAGGTATAATTATTGTTATCATCTCTGTGTGAACAGGCCTTAAGACTTTATTTAGAATCTTAAAGGTACGATCAGCAATTTTAGCTGCTTCGCTAACTTAAGATATTTTGTTAACTTCCACCACACTGACCGCTTTCTAAACTCCTCCCTCCAAAGTCATGTCCACAAATCCAAATTTAATTTTTTTTTCCCGCAGACATAAAGCATTTATGATTGGCTCAGATAATGTGGGTCACTCCCTCCAGGTGGAGTTTGGAAGCTCATTGCACCACTGAGTTACAATTAAAGTTAAAATTCATTGTTAAATTAAATAGGCTTACACCAGAGAATTTCAGACATATGGGATGCTTAATTCCTTACCTAATTTTGTGGATCAAAGAAATATCTCTTGCTTAAAGGTCGCAAGAGATTGTTTGACTGACGATATTTAAAAATAAATCAAAAATCTCATTAAAATGTACATCAGTAATGGTACAGTAACTTTATTAAGAATTTTTAAATGTAAATCAAAAATTGCATCTAATTAAAATGTACATCAGTAATGGTGCAGTAACTTTACTTTGAGACCTCATTGAAACTAGGGCTACACAATATTGGAAAAACAACTGACATTACCAGTATTTTATTTTTCTGTGATATACAGGCAGACATTTTTACTAGACAACTAGGTACAGTATATTTGGAAAGAAGTATTCATTCTAGAACATTGATTTTGTTAGGCATTGCAGAACATAAAAACAATTTTTAAAAGCTAAAAAATAACTTTTTTGTGTGTGAAGTATCTGTTCAAATCCTCTTTCATAACTTCTTTCAATGACCATAAAGTGAACAGTTAAAAAACTCTGTCCACTTGTTTTCATAGGCCATATACCCACTACACATTCAATAATACTATAAAATAATAACAATTATTATTTAATAGGGAAACGCTTTATTTTAAGGTGTCCTTGTTACACATTACATGTACTTACTATTATAATAACAATAAATTATGCATAATTACTCTAATTACTCTAATATAACTCTAAGCCAAACCCTAATCCTAACCCTAACCATATAGTAAGTACATGTAGTTAATTAATATTACTCAGTACTTATAAATGTATAAAATAAAGTGTAACCCTTAATTGAGATTATTAAATAAAATATTAAACAATATAATTATATTGTACTATAAAATAAAAAAAAACATGTAATAAAATAACTTATAGCACAATTGTAAACTTATAATAGTTACTATTTTCAACTTAATTTCTTCATTTTCAGATGTTAAAGCTTTCATTTTGACTGAACGCAGGCAAATAAATAAATGTGCTGTGAGTTTTAGAGTGAAGCACAACACTGTATTCATAAAGTGCATTAGGTTTCAGGTTTCAGGTTCTCAGAGCAGCTTTACTGTGAACCGAAACACATAGAAACTGTAATCATTTTGAAACCACCATTACATATGGTCTAGCAATCTACTGTATGATCCACACATGTACGCATGCTTACCAGAGAGAAGCATGGGGTCCTTGTCGGCCGACTTCCGCACATGATCTGATTCACCGGTTAAAGAGCTCTCGTCGATTTGCAGGTCATTTCCCTGAATCAGGACCCCATCAGCAGGTAGGAGGTCACCTGAGAGAGGAAACAAAAGTGGGACAAATAAATATCCCGTGATCAGTAGAGCATCCTTAATATGCCAAAAAGCCTTCACTGTTCCTACCAGTAATGCTATATTGCACAGAGTACATTATCAACAAATGAGTTCCCATCGTGATTTGTGGAAATGTGGACATTACTCTAAAAATACCCCTGTGTTATTCCACACCTTCCTCATATTAGATGAGTTAAGCATTTAATCTCAGCATTTAAACCATTCTCCAGCCTCAGCAGAACAGAAAACTGACCGTATTTGACCTGGGCCATGTCCCCAACCACCATCTCGGCGACGGGGATCTGGATGACGTTTCCATTGCGCACCACAGCGAATCGCTGCTCCAGCTCGATGCGGCTCTGCAGTCCCCGGAACTGTTTCTCTTTACTCCAGTCGTTGAAAGCCGTCACCAGCACCACGCAAATGACGGAGAGTAGGATGGCCGCACCTTCGATCCATCCTGCCTCTGCCTCCCCCTCATCTTCAGCTCCTCCTGACACATTTCCACAACCTGCAGAGGTTAGAAGTTCATTATTACATGGGCATCTGGAATACTTGATTCTGATTGATCAATTGCAGTTGATGCTTTTTGTTGGGAGCAATGCTTTCCAGATGAAGCGCTCTTTGACAGACTTCTTGGAGACATACGTGTGCTATCTGGGACTTGGTCCCCAGCTGAGATGACTTTTAATGGGCAGGCTTTTTGGTGCCTGATTAGAAATTATAGAGCATGTATTTATTCTTAAACATCAAAATATTCTAATTAATGTCATTTAAACATCACATCAATGGCATTAAACACATTATATTACATAAGCAAAAATATTCTTTCAAATTCTTTGTTTTCAGTTTGCAAGCTAACAAGCATAGCACAATCTGGTTAAGGAAAGCTCTTTTGATTAGCTAGACTAAGATATCATGATAACACTTATTTTGCAGATACTGAGATAAGCATTTCTTTAATGTCTTTCGATTTGCTCTGTGGTCTCTTTCTTGTTTCATACCAATTCAAGTTTGCCATCTTGCAACTCAGAATGATTAGCCGACTGACAAGCTTGTATGCTTCATTATTTATTTTAATAGCTACACACAATTTTAAAGTTTGGGAAAATATTCTTAAAGGAATTATTATTTTAATTTGAGCAATTAAATTGACATTTAAATTGATTAAACTGACATTAAAAGTAATATATAATGTTCTGAATCAAAAGACCTTAAAGAAATGCTAATGTCAATGTCTGAGAAAATGCAGTGTTATCATGATATCTTAAAGAATCTGAAAAAAAAATTAACAAAATATTTCCACAAATACAAACCCGATTCCAAAAAAGTTGGGACACTCTACAAATTGTGAATAAAAACAGAATGCAATGTGGAAGTTTCAAATTTCAATATTTTATTCAGAATACAACATAGATGACATATCAAATGTTTAAACTGAGAAAATGTATCATTTTAAGGGAAAAATAAGTTGATTTTAAATTTCATGGCATCAACACATCTCAAAAAAGTTGGGACAAGGCAATTTGTACAGTGTCCCAACTTTTTTGGAATTGGGTTTGTATATGAAACAGCTAATTTTCAACATAAATAATACTAAGAAATGTTTCTTGAGCACAAACATTGCTGCCTTTACTGTATTATTGATTAAATGCAGCCTAGGGTGAACATAAAATACTTTTAAAAACACACAAAAAAATTTTTGAATGGTAGTGTATGATGAGCATAAAACAGTAGATGATTAGATGCTCAGCAGTCCCCAGTTAAAGCAAGAAAACAAAAATATCACTTTGAATAACAACAAACTGGTAAGAGACAAAAAAATGGAATAAAAAAACCCCCTTTAAAATAGCAGAAGATTTTACATTGCAGCTAAATATGTTATAGAAAAAGTTATTTGGACTGCAGATTAATATTAATATATGAATTAATGTTGTAATACTGTTGCAGTGTTTGTCTTGCTGGAAGATACAAGAGAAAATTAGAAAAAAAAACATTCAAATCAGTATTAAATGTTAGTAAATAGCCATGTAATTAATAGAATAATGTGCAGTAAGGCTGGTGATATTTAAAAAATGGACCCTTTCAGAAATCGGTTCACCCTGCCAGAGTTTATTTTCAATAATCCAGAGTGACATTTAGGTTATGCAGCACTCAAAATTGTATAAAACTTTCAGAATATTTAACTGTTTATTTTTCCCCAGCATCCCTAAACTGCTTTTCTCCTTCTCTGCATTCCTGCTTGACATCCTCATTTCTCACTCCATTTTCTCACCTTCATTCTCACCTTTTTCCTCCCACACTCCCTTGATTCAGTTCTCTCTGTCTTCCCTCCCACTCTCTATCCATAATTCCCTCCTCCCTCGACCCACACCATCCCTTTAACTCCCTATGACCTTAGTGTTGCTAGCGTCGTGCTCTACTGTTTCAGCTACAGAACAGATATTTAAAAAATTCAAGGTTTCAGAAAAGGCTTTCAAAATGTCACATCAAAGTCAACATATTAACTACTGTAGCATTTTATAGGCCAATTGTTACAGGAAAGATGCAGCCTAACTCATGTGTAAAAAGTTAACTTTCTGTTTACAAGGTTAATAATAAGGTGGTTTAGGTAAGAGTTATGCAAATATTAAACTGAACTAGTGAAGCCATTTGTAGTTAAAGAAAATTTTAAAATGCTGTTCCAAAAGTCACCATTATATTTGTGCCTTTTTACCAAATAAGTAAAAAAAAAAAAAAAAAAAGTAGAGAATCATGGTAGGTTTTTTTTCTAGTCTTTCACCAGTCCAATTTGGACCAAGCCAATACTTACAGCTTGGAAAAATTGTATATGAATAAAGTTCACAGATTCCGACAGTGAACAACTCCAATACCATTTCACACAAAATTGCACACACACACTCACACACACACACGCACGCACACAGACACACACACACACAATCTTTAAATCCACCATGGAGCTAACTGACACCTTTAATAGCATATGCACTGCTTCCCTTTCCTATTATCACCACACATTCAAACAACACATTTAGCCATCTTACAATCTCAAAGATTCTAATGAGGGTCACTAAGATGAGATGAATAACACAATATATTGCATGTGTGTACGATACAATAAAACATAACTAACTGACCATAATGACCCAAGCGTATTAGAATGTGTCGATTTGTTAAAGCAGATTGTTCCAAAGTAAGAAGTGATGCGAGTCGGCCTGAGCCACATATATTGAATTTCTGATGTAAATAATTAATCGCATGTTTCTGCTCATTTCAAAGGGCTCCTATACAGAACGAGAGGCTGAGAGAAGACAGGAAGGATGAAGAGAAATGGATATGAAGACACGAGACACACTGTGTTTAATGTGCCCAGTGCCCCCCTTTCCCCAGCCATCTATGTCTTTCAGTCTTTCTCTTACTCTCGCTTTCAGTCTTTCATAGATTGGTGCAGTTTCCATGGTGATGAGGACATCAAGCACAAATCGTGCTGCTCTTCAACTTCCTGTCTTCGGGCACCTTTTCGCCCAGCTACAGATGATGTCATTGATTCGGTGTGGTCCGAGTGAGCCTTATAATAGATTTTTGATTGGTCTGCTGTGGAAGCTGTTTTTGCAGACAGTGAGTCTTTCAGAGCCTGAGAGAAAATTCATGATGTTTTCAGTCAGTGTTGAAGTCAGTGGAGTCACCCGGAGTGAAACCCAGCATTACAGCTGAGCTGAATGAGGCACTATTGACGTCAGTCTATGAGTGTGCAGTGAACATACTTTAGGGACGGATAAGGACAGGACAATCCAACCAGAAAATACTTTAAGTGGACAAAGGAGGAATGTATGGGCTGGTATGTATACCGCCACTGAGTCAGAGCATCAGGTCAACTGTTGGCAAGAGCTCCTGCGGTTATACTGTACACTGATCACAGTCACTCCATACCAGCACTCAGCACTGACCTTGCCATTACCATTACTGAATGCATGATTATACAACACTCTACGTGAGAAGTGGACGTATGAATGAAAGACAAATAGAGAGAGAGAGAGTCAGGAAAGACAGAAGATGAATGAAGATGACAAAGTCATGCTATCTGAAGAAGGTGTTAAAGGGACAGTGCACCTAAAAATAATAACACTTCAGTAACACTTTACAACATTAGTTAACATGGACTTACAATAAACAATTCTTCTGCAGCATTTATCTGTAAATCTGTCATTTACTTATCATCATGTTGTTCAAAACCTGTATTACTTTATGTCTTTCTGATATTTTGCAGAGAAATTTAGTATAAACTCTTTTATTTATTTATTTATATATTCATTTTAAATTTGATAAGAAGTCAAATGAATGGGGACCTTTCAAGCTTCAACAAGGACACAAAGGAACCATAAAAGTATCATAAAGTGATCTATACAAATCATGCACTGTATTCCAAGTCTTTTGAAATCATATGATTTTCAATTATTCATTGAAAATATTCCTAGCTCTACTTGACACATTCATGAGAAAAGCTAATGTCTGATTTGAGAAGTAATGGGTTTTTAAACAGACCTTTTCAGTGAATTGACTGATCGATTGAACTGATTCGTTCATGAATCAGACTAAATTAGCTGACTCACTAACTGGTTCCAGCAATAAACAGATCACCAGAGAGATAAACAAAATGAAATTTAAGTGATTATTCACTGAAAATCTCACCTAGATCTCCTTAGCACAATTATGAGAGAAGCAATCCGATTTGTGAAGGAACTTTCTTCCTGAGTCAGATCTTTTCAGTAAACTGAATGATCCAAATGATTCGGACTGATCAAGTACACAAAATCAGTCTAAATGATTTGATCATGATCGCTAGAGGAGATTTTGGTCTGTTCCTCACAAAGCTGTTGTATGATTTCAGAATATTGTACAGCAAACATCATAAGGACCACTTTTATGATACTTATTTTTGAAGCTTTAAAGTTCCAGTCTGTAGATAATCTATCTGCATGGAAAAGAGCGATCAGCACATCTTCAAAACGTCTACTTTTGTGTTCAACAGAAGAAAGTAAGTTATGCAGGTTTGGAACAACAGGAGGCTGAGTAAATGAAGACCGGTTTTCCATTTATGGATGAACTGTCCCTTTAAGAAAAACTGCTGAGTAGCCATGCCCGCATCCATTCGCTTTAAAGAATCTCTTGCTTTTCAAACACCCCACCTCCTTCTCCCCCCACCCCACTCACTCACTCACTCACTCACTCTCTCTTTCTCTCTCTTTCTCTCTCTCTCTCTCTCTCTCTCTCCCCTTGGTGTGTCCTTGACAATGCGGCAAGCTGTACTAGAATTCCTTCTCTCTCCTTCCGTTCCTTCCTAACCTCCTTCTCTCTCTTTCTCTTTTTCATTCTCTTTCCACCCTCCACCCCCATTGCTCTCGGATCTCCATGCCCTGCTGCTGCAGAACAGGTATCTGTGTATGTTCAGGCTGATAGATTGATACGTGCACGCCCTGCTCTGAAAACAGTGTTTATAGCAGCAGGCTG